CATATAGTGAATTTTTATAGTACCAACACATCTCCTGCAAACACTCCCTGCTCCCGCCTGTAAACGTTCACTGTTCACTTCACGAACGCTGACGAGCTGTAAGCTTCTCGGCTCATTTACTAACCTTGACAGTTTGGGGGACAGTTGCAAATCTAACCTCAGATCAGTGTCTGCGAGGAACTTCAACCTTGGACACAGTTTACACTCTAAACACACCTATCTTATCTGCTTCCTTCTCTCTGTCCAATCAGAGTTGAGGATGAACAGCCGTGTGCAGCACCGGCAGCAAACTGAGGCCTCATGAACAAAAAAAAAATCTTGAAATGTTCATGTGTAGGTGTGTAATTATGGAGGAGGTTTTAAGGTATTATTCTGTGATGCAAGGGGTTACATTTTTTTCTTACTGCGTCACTCATTTAAGTGTTGATTTTAGTAGTTTTATGCAGTATTACAAAACTCAAATCAGTCTGATGATGAAAATGCAGCTAAGATGTATAATAAATAAAGTATAATGCTTGTGCACAGTTCAGTATCGCTCTGCTCTGTAGCCAAGAAAAAAGAACTCTAAAACAAAAAGGAAATTCACCTGCTACAACTACACCGAAAGGCCAGACTGAAGATGGCGGTGTTGAGTCGACTTGTTAACTCATTCTCACCATAATCTGTTGTGTTGCACCTTTAGAGAGGCATTTTGGACTTCTGTGTTAGCTCCTCCTAACATGCTATCACAGGCCTCAGCACTGGGTAGGCGACGGCAAGTCACAACATACCATAGGCTGTCATGAGTTATAGCTTCAATGTCTTATTTTCCCAAAAGCCAGTGAGCATAACACAACTGAAATTAGTCTTCATTGTTTTACCTCATTTAAAATAAAATAAAACAATTTGAACAGGAAGGTTGATTAAGTCATTGAGCATTTAAATCATTGATCTAACAAAAATGCCATGCATTGATTGGTTCCAACTTCTCAAATGTGAGGATTTTCTCTTTCATATTATTGTTCATAGAACATTTTGGGGCTTTGGGCTGCTGGTTTAGACAAACAAAGCTATTTCAATCATTTAGCTCATAAAAAAGGACTGGTTAGTTGAAAAGTAGCTTTTGCAGCAGCGCTAGTTGTTTCCTTGTTAGGATTGAGCTTCAAATCCTCCGACATACACCTTTAACCAAACCACATTTATTTGCAAAACATGGCGAAATGTGTTTCTATCCTGAGCCACAGTACACTGATTCTATAATAAAATCATGAAATGTCAACAGCACAGCAGCTTTAAGACGAGCTGCAGCTGTGAGGAGGAAGTTGTGGTAATAAAGCATTCCATGGTTTCTCCTCCAATGTGGTTTTTAGGTGCTTCTTGTTTGGTTGGGGAGGCCAGTTTCTTCCTTTCTGTCAGTCAACTGTGTCCTTTAACGCAGACCATAGGAGCACCGCTCAATGAAAACTGTCACAGCTTCAGAGCAAAGGCAGAGAGGGAAACTGAGAGCCATGGCGATAAACGGTCTGTTACACTACCTTTCTTACCTATCTGAGACGGTTGCTATGACAACACTTCCTATTTGACGTACATGTGAGTTTGATGTCGACCTGATTAGTACATGAGCGCTAACAGCGGCTTACTTCCTGAAGCCAGCAGTGAAGAATCTACTATCTATCACCTTTGTGCTGTAACATTTTTTCTTTCAGCTTTAAAGTAGACTTGTTGCTGAGTTGGTCTATTTTGAGCCAATAAAATAAGGATCCAGTAACGCTTGGTATTTCATGAAAGCAAGTGATTCTGCTGCCAAACCAACAGATGGGTGTGACTGTATATCCGCAATGTCACCACCACTCCTCTCAGTACATCTGCTCCTGGGGAGGGTGGAATTCAAGCAAACCACTGTAGGCTAGGCCCTGTGGCTTCTAACACGCACAATGCAGCGCGCACACAAACACACACACACACACACACACACACACACAGCAACTCCTACAAGGCTTTAAGGGCTACATAGGTGTGTAGTTCTGTTTATCAGTTACTATAACAGAAATGCCTGTTTTAGGCTGACCCAGCAAAATGAAAGCACCTGATAAGTCACGGAGCTTAAATCATACTGATACAAAATTTACAGAAGTAAAAATCCAACCCTGTCCTGATGCATTCTTGATCACTACCAGCAATGGACCGATATTAAAGGGACCACCATATTATTACTCTGGTATAGTTGGTCATATTGCTAAACCCATCTCTCCTCAAATTTGTAAAGCAGTTTACTTATTTGATCATAAAGTTACTTAGTGAAGTTTTAGAATGTTTTATTTAGGTGTTTAAGAAAGCTATGCCACGTCTGCTTGTGTTTAGATAATATTTTACATTTAAGGACTTCTGCTTGTGAGATGAACAAAAATCCAGTTTGGAAGCGAAAAACAACAGCAACTGCAACTGGTGATTATTTTCTTTATCTATCTTTAACCAATCTATTAATCGTTTTGTCAACAAAATGTCAGAAATAATGAAAACGGTCCATAACAAAGTCAATTCATGAAGTCAAATGTGATGCGAAGAGATCCAGGTTGCTAGGATGTCTTTGAGAGAAAAGCAGAAAATATTAATGTTTGAGAAGCTGGAA